CCTTGCTAAACAAAGAACCCTCAAGATGCCCTGATTTTAGTGCCTCCGGCTCAGGCCGCCGACATTACAGGCCTGCTTTCTTATTTGCGTCCCTTTGGAATTGTCCCCTTGCCCCCTTCCCCTCTGAGATTTTTGCCCCCCTTTCTTTGTTGAGATCCATTCCCCCTTTCCGCCCGAAGGCCTTTTCTCCCTCTTTTTTTTTCCCTTTTCCTCCCTAAGATGTTTTCACCCCTCTCCCTGTTGAGATCCTTTCCCCCCTTTCCCCCCTAAGGCCTTTTCCCCCCTGAGATCTTCTCCCTTTGCCTCCCTAAGATCTCCCAGATCGTCTCCCTTTCAGGGAGAAGATCTGGGAGAAAAGGACTTAGGGGGGAAAGCCCAACAGGGAAAGGGGGGAAAAGATTTAGGAAGGAAAAGGGAGAAGCTCTCAGGGGGGGGAAAGGCCTTAGGGGGGAAAGGGGGAAAAGGATCTCAGCGGGGGGGGGGAAGATCTTAGGGAGGAAAGGGAGAAGATCTGGGGACAAAGGCCTTAGGGGGGAAAGGGGAGAAATGATCTCAACAGGGAAAGGGGTGGAAAAGATCTTAGGGCGGAAAGGGAGAAGATCTGGGAGAAAAAAGGCCAACAGGGAAAGGGGGGAAAGACCTAAGGAAGGAAAAGGGAGAAGCTCTCAGGGGGGGGAAAGGCCTGAGGGGGGAAAGGGTGGGAAGGATCTCAACAGGGAAAGGGGGGAAACAATCTTAGGAAGGAAAGGGAGAAGATCTGGAAAGGCCTTAAAGGGAAGGGGGGAAAGGATCTCAACAGGGAAAGGGGGCAAAGGATCTTAAGGAGGAATAGGAAGAAGATCTCAGCGGGGGGAAAGGCCGTAGGGGGGAAAGAGGGGAAAGGATCTCAACAGGGAAAGGGGGGAAAGATCTCAGTGAAAAAGGGAGAAGGTCCCAGGCAGGGAAAAGGCCTTAGGGACAGGGGGCAAAGGATCTTAGGGAGGAAAAGGGAGAAGATCTGAAAAGGCCTTAGGGGGAAAAGGGGGAAAGGAGCTCAACAGGGAAAGGTGGGAGAAGATCCTAGGGAGGAAAAGGGAGAAGATCTCGGGGGAAAAGATCTTGGGGAGGACAAGGGAGAAGATCTCAGGGGGGGGAAGGCCTTAGGGGGGAAAGGGGGGAAAGGATCTCAACAGGGAAAGGGGGCAAAGGATCTTAGGGAGGAAAAGGGAGAAGATCTTGGGGGGGAAAACGCCTTAGGGGGGAAAGGGCGGGAAAGGATCTCAACAAGGAAAGGGGGGAAAAGATCTTAGGAAGGAAAAGGGGGAAGATCGCAGGGGGAAAAAAGGCCTTAGGGGGGAAAGGAGGGAAAGGATCTCAACAGGGAGAGGGGGGAAAACATCGTGGGGAGGAAAAGGGAAAAACTCAGAGGGAGAAAGGGCCTTAGGGGGGAAAGGGGGGATGGATCTCAACAGGGAAAAATGGCAAAAGATCTTAGGGAGGCAAAGGGAGAAGATCTCAGGGGGGGAAAGGCCTTAGGGGGGAAAGGGGGGAAAGGATCTGAGCAGGGAAAGGGGGGGACAGATCTTAGGGAGGGGGGAGAAATGATCTCAACAGGGAAAGGGGTGGAAAAGATCTTAGGGAGGAAAGGGAGAAGATCTGGGGGAAAAAAAGGCCAACAGGGACAGGGGGGAAAGATCTAAGGAAGGAGAAGCTCTCAGGGGGGGAAAGGCCTCAGGGGGAAAGGGTGGGAAGGATCTCAACAGGGAAAGGGGGGAAACAATCTTAGGAAGGAACGGGGGGGGAAGATCTTAGGGAGGAAAGGGAGAAGATCTGGGAGAAAAGGACTTAGGGGGGAAGCCCAACAGGGAAAGGGGGGAAAAGATCTTAGGAAGGAACAGGGAGAAGCTCTCATGGGGGGGGGGAAAGGCCTTGGGAGGGAAAGGGGGGAAAGGATCTCAACAGGGAAAGGGTGGGAAAGATCTTAAGGAGGAAAGGGGGGGGAAGATCTTAGGGAGTTCCTCCCTAAGATCTTCCCCCCCCCCCTTTCCTCCCTAAGATCTTTCCCACCCTTTCCCTGTTGAGATCCTTTCCCCCCTTTCCCTCCCAAGGCCTTTCCCCCCCTGAGAGCTTCTCGCTTTTCCTTCCTAAGATCTTTTCCCCCCTTTCCCTGTTGGCCTTTTTTCCCCAGATCTTCTCCCTTTCCTCCCGAAGATCTTTTCCACCCCTTGCCCTGTTGAGATCATTTCTCCCCTTTCCCCCCTAAGGCCTTTTTGCCCCAGATCTTCTGCCTTTCCTCCCTAAGATCTGGAAATGAAGGGGGGAAAGGGGGAAAGGATCTCAACAGCGAAAGGGGGGGAAAGATCTCAGGGAGGAAAGGGAGAAGATCTGGGGAAAAAATGCCTTAAGGGGGAAAGGGGGGAAAAGATCTTTGGGAGGAAAAGGGAAATCTTTCTCGGGGGGAACAGGCCCTAAGGGGCAATCGGGGGACAGGATCTCAATCGGGAAAGAGAGAAAAACACTTTGGGAAGAGAAGGGTGGAGATCTTGGGGGGAAAAGGCCTTAGGGGGGAAACGGGGGCAAGGATCTTAAGCGGGAAAGGGGGGAAGAGATCTTAGGGAGGCAAAGGGAGACGAACTCAGGGAAAAGGACTTAGGGAGGAAAGGGGGGGAAAGATCTTTGGGAGGAAAAGGGAGAAGAACTGAGGGTGGGAAAAGGCCTTAGAAGGAAAAGGGGGGAAATAAATGATCTCAACAAGGAAACCAGCATAGGCAACATCCCCAGCATCACTTGCATCATCCGCATCCTTGGCAGGCGCTGATGCGGATGATGCAGGTGATGCTGGCGATGTGCCGCTGGAGCTGCTAATGATGCGAAAGCGCACCCGGGGGGAATCGAACACCCCAATGTTTTTGACAAACTGAGTTGCACAAGCCGCACAATGAACAGATTTAGTGAAGCGTCTTCGAATCACCGCGTGGTACATGGACCCCCCCCCCCCGCAATAGTTTGAAATGCTGATTGTGGGGGGGGTTAGGGGAGGGGTAACAGGTAAAGAGGTCTGGAGCATTTCTTGGATTCCTATGGGCGTCTCCCAGCAGACAGGAGTGTTGAGGGTTGAGGGTCCAGGCGCTCGATCTGTCCTCGACAGGGTTGTGGGATCAAGGGGTTTTTCCCCACTTCTGTGATAATTACAAGTTGGAAATCTCCCCCTTTATATGGGGGGTTAGTCTTTGGGAAGCCTTTTTTGTTGTATCGCAGAAGTGGATTCCATTCCCACAGCCCTGGTCCTCGATCTGTCGAAGCTTTCTCCCCGAGGCCGGCTTCGGTCGCCTTGTGGTGGAGGCAGCTGGGCTTGTGGAGAGCTCCGTTCAGGCAGCGGGCCCCAGCGATGGAGCGATCGCCGAACGGGCGGGGTGGGGGTGGGGTTGGGTGGGGGTGGGGGGGGGGGTTGCTCAAAACTTTGGTTGTTTCTTTGTTTGCTTGTGTGTTTGTTACTGTTTGTTACTGTGCGTTACTGTTTGTTACTGGTTGTTGCTGTTTGTTACAGTTTTTGTTTGTTTGTTTGTTTGATTGTTTGTTTGTTTTCGGACCCTACGTTTGACTGATGAGTTTTTTCGGCCAGGGGTGGGAGTATCAGAGACTGGCACTCCATCAAAACCATTTTGGGGTGTGGGGGGGGGAGAATTTTCAGAAACAAGTCATCCCGGTTCAGCCTGGCCGAGTTTCTCTCACTTTAGGGGTACCTTCCTTTTCCATTTCCAGGGATCCGGATCTTTCTAGCAGACCTCCGGAAACCCAAGGAAAACGGAACCGCTTTTTTGAAAAGAACGATGGTTGAAAAGAATGGAATTGGAATCAACCCCTAGACTCATGTTCCTTTCACCCCGAAGCTGAGTCCCGAGTTGCGACTTCGCGAAATCCTTGGAACTGAGAGGGGCCAAGACTTTGAGCAAAAACACATGCTTGCAGCTTGAATCTTCCGAACGAACAACCACATCAAGAAATTCAGAGAGAATGTCCGTTGCAAAGACGAATTACTGCACTGCCCCTCCGACGCAAGACATCCTGCATGCCATATCGGAGGGACAGGAAGCAGCTAGAATATGATCTCAGTGGCCAGGCTGATGGAATATCTAAAAGGTCTTCCTCTTCTGTCGTTGCGTCCACAGGCCTGCGTGAGGTTCACCTTGTGACAGCTGTGCGGGTATGTCTTCCAAATGGTTTCCTTTTGTTGGTCTGTCTAGCTTCAAGGTATGTCCAACTGACATTTTCCTTAAGGGAGCACCTTCTGTTTCTTTCAGACTTGCGAATGTGGGTCCCGTATTTCTTGGCAGGCGTTCCTTTTCGGTTCCCTTGAAAGCCCAAGTTGGCGACCCTTGGCCTCAAAAGGTCCCCCGAGCTGGGACCCCTGTTGGCCGTCCCAACCTGTGCCTTCCCCAAGGCTCTTATCGGGGTGCACCTTTTTTTACATCCCGCAAATTTGTTTGTACCGAGCCTCCAAAACAGACCCACAATTGTTGTTTGATGTACGTAGACCAAGCATGATCTGGCCATGTTGCCGCATTGCACACAAACACTCGTTTGGCGGTCAACTATCAAGCAATCTTTGTTGGGGACTTTGGGGACTTTGGGGACTTTGGGGACTTTGGGGACTTTGGGGACTTTGGGGACTTCGGGGCCTTCGGGGACTTTGGCGACTTCGGGGACTTTGGGGACTTTGGGGACTTTGGATTCAATTTCTCGGCAACAGTTGGTGGTTGGGATTGGCGGCTTGGTTAAGGAGGCGTTTCCCATTTACTCTCTACAAGACCCAGGGGTTCAGGCTCCCATGTGGCTTGGGAGCTGTGTCGAATGCCGCCGCAGGCCGCCAAAGCATGCCGTCGAGCCAATATAACATGCGCCTGACATCGCCAGAACCGCTATGCAACCACCTGGCTGGGGCAGGAACACAGCCGCCAACACTTGGACTTGGGCTCAAGAGGGCACCTCGGCAGATTTTGCCCAAGTCTTTGAACCCTTCCCCCCTTCTTGCCTTCCCCCGGGCTTCTGCTTGTGTCCTTACAGCCATGCCGCGCTTCAGCTTTGGAGTGCTGAGCCTTGTGGCCTGTGCCTTGGCCGCTGAGCAGCAGATCTTCTGGGTGGATGACCTGATCTCTCAGGGACAGGCGGCTTGGCCGAGATGGACGCGCGCGTTCGCGCGTTCGCGCGCGCGCGCGTGCGCGCGCGCGTTTGTTTGTTTGTGTGTGTGTGTGTGTGTGGGCCTTTCATGGGGCAGCTAGCTGGTTGGGAGAGAGCCAAGGAGCTGGGAGTATCCAAATGTTCGAACGCATAAAGAGGGAGCTAAGAGGCTACCAGGAGATTTGTGAGGACAGGGTAGTAACCCATCCTTAAAAACCGAAACTGGACAATGACTGGTGACCACAGCGGCTTGCCTGCGATCTGCGGGGGGAATACCAAATCAGCCCAACCCACCCAAAACCTCAAACTCTACCAACCACCCAAGATCACTCCCCTTTTCAACCCCACGTGCACCGGAAAAAAAGAAAGAAAGAACAACAGCAACCTCAAACTGTACCAACGACCCAAAATCACCCTCCCCCCCCCATGCAAGAAAAACAATCACCCCCCCTTTTCAGCCCCACATGCACCGGAAAAAGAAAACCAAAAAAAGAAGAAAAACGAAAACAACAGAGAAGCAAAACAGGAAAACACAAGCAAAGCAAACAATCGGAAAACACACAATCCGAGACCAAGGCCCAGTCGAAGCTTTGGATGATGACTGGGGAGGACGCCCCACTGGGCAGTCGCAAGATCCAGTACGACGACCAGGACTACTGCATGGAAGCCTTCGGCAGCCTCGTTGATGTTTAACGCGACCGATGAAAGGGGCAGCGTCATATGACATATATAGAAATACATACATATATATATATATATGATCCAGTCTTCCCTATATATATATATATATATATATTTATATATATGGGTGTGGCTTTTGATGTTGGGGACGTTTTAAAGGGAAGCCAACAGGAAAGCTAAACGCCATTTTCGAGGTCCTTTTTTCTAGGACGCATACGCGCAGCACAGATGCAGAGATGAATCAAGTGCCAGTGCTGCCAAAATGAATTTGCGGGATACCCTTCCTCCCACTAGCACTTGTGGGGAGGTGCCTGGAAGATGAATTTCCTCTTGAAGAGCCTCTGTCAGGTGCTGTGGAAGAGAGGGCATCTCATTCCTGGCAAAGGGCGGCAAATAGCAACCTTCAGCTTTGGCAAGAGGACTGCATGGTGCCTATGTGGAGACGTATCGCAATTTGCTCCCAAGAGAACCCCATAGGCTCGGTGAGGGCACGCCAAAGACCACGGCCGATTTCAACGCCCCGAAAAGGGTCCTGGACCCTTGCACCACCCATCAACAAGAAAGACATCGCCCCATTTTTGTGGGGTGACCCATTTTGATGGGGTCCGGGTGTGGTTGTTCTTGATGGGTACCTGTTTTTTTTTCCCCTGTGGCGGTTGGTCTCGTTTCAATCCGGGACCTATGGGCCGAAGCTATGGGCCGATGTGCCCCCAGGCACGCTGGATGGCTCCGTTTGCAAGCCGCCGCCTGGCTAAAAAGCTTCAGTGAAGGAACGACCTGTGGATGAACGAATCCATATCGCACGATTGAAACAAGAACATGAACCCCCGGTTTCTGATGATTCCACTGTACCAACAAGCAATGGTTTCAACCACGGTTTTTTTAGGCGGTGCAGGATTTCGTCCATCCACGGTATGAACCATCCAACTGTCAAACTTTCCCCCCTTCTTGGGAATCCCCCGGTTCATTCCCAAAACTGTAGCGATTGCAGCGGCAAGCAAAAGGGTGATTTGCGTTGCCTCCTTGAAGATTCCTGAAGCCATGCTGGGCCCTGAGTTCAGGTTGGTGAAGCATTATAGCCATTGGCTCCAGGCCTCCCAGTGGCTGGTAGGCATCAACAGACATGGAGCCGTGCCTGGATCGGCATCTGTCGTCTGCGGGTTTGCCCGCAGATTGGCAGCATGACATTGCCGACATGGTTGGGCAATATGCGATGATGTCCCGTGCTGTGGACAGCGACACCGGATCTTGTTACGTCAAGCTGCAGAAGCTGATCGCGGTGGATGGTTGGGCAGTGGATCGTGTTTATTGGTCAGCCATTGGCGCTCCATCTCGCTCCTCCTTTGCATGCAACACAGGGGTATTTTCGGTACAGCTGGAAGTGCCCATACAGCAACATCTGGCTTTCAGGATGGAGAAGGACGTAATTATGACAGCAGTGCATTTTCGGGTGGTGTGCCAGGACTCCATTGCATTCATGCATTTGACGATGGATTCCCTACTGTTCAAGCATGGAACGGTTTCGCAGACAGGGTGTGCGGTTGATTTCTTTGCGGGAATCGGGGGATGGGTGCACGGACAGCGTTTTCTGTTGCCCTTCCTTTCACAGCATGCACCACAGATTGCCTTTGGCATTGAGTGTGACTTGCGAACTGCTGATTTGGCATCAAGCATGCTGGGGTGGGACACCATGAAGGATGATGCCTTCTGTGCGATACCTTGGCTTGAGATTGAGAACATGGATGCGCTCATGCTGTGTGCCAGTGTATCCAATCGTGCAGTATTGTCCAGACTTACTGTGCACAACATAGCGGTAGCTGTGGGTTCGCCTAGCTGTCAGCCTTGGTCGTCAACGGCCTGCCGTGATGGACTGGCTAGTGAGCTTGGCCTCAACATCATTGACACAGCCATCAACCTGAAGATCATGCAGCCATGCATTGCGGCTCTGGAGAATGTGATTGGCATGGCCTCCCATCCCCAATGGGAGCTGGTGAAGCAGCTCTTCAAGTGGGCGGGCTTTCGTCTCATTCAGGTTGACAAGAGTGACATCCGAGCCATCCGGCCTATTGCACGCAAGAGGCTGTTGCTTTTCCTGGTACGCGACGATTTGCAGCTTAGTAAGGAGTGTCTGATGCGGCTCACTGGAATTACCATGCCGTGTGTGCAGCCCAGGCCAACTCTTGGCACCACAGATTCGATCATGAATCACCTGACTGAACAGGAGTGGGATGCATTGAAAGTCAGTGCGGAAGACCTGAAGCGCCTGCTTGACCCACGCTTCTTGCCTGCATGGGAACGTGCCAAGCATGGAACAGATGCCACTGCTATCAAGCGTTTTCGTGTGTTGGACCAGCATTCGCACCTCCCGGCCCTCATGGCATCGTACCGGACGAACATTGCTTTCTCAGATGGTTTTCTGCAAGAGAATGGATTGCATGCCTTTGTGATTGGTGACAGCCGGGGGATTCGCTTTTTCCATTGCCAAGAGCTTGCCACGATCTTAGGGTTCCCAGCCAGTACGGCTCAGGCTACTAAGGACGTGTTTGCATACCGCGCATTTGGGAATTGCCTTGCACCAATTCATGCAGCTCATGGATGGTTCAAGCTCTTCTGCGTGTGGTCGGATCTGACAGGTGTTGCGGGGGTGCGTGGCACTTTTCATCAGATTTGCACCTATGCGGACAGCCAGTATCATCGCTTCCAGCCAGCTGAGTCGAAGAATGATGCTTTGACCCCCATTACCCCGACGGTTCCCTTCGCTGTTGAGTCCCAGAGCTGCAGGATCCTTGAACCGCCAACCAAGAAGTGCAAGCCTGATGTCCTTTGCCTTGTGTTGCCTGAGACGTGCATCCGTGACCTGCTTTTCGTAAGCCCTGACGCACTTTGCAACATAACAAGCAGTGGACCTGATGACATCCGTTCTGAGATTGCACAGAATTGCAAAGTCTGCATCACCCATGATGAGGGCAGATGGGCATGGAGTGGAACTGCATGTAGAGGTGATACCATTGCACATGTGCTTCAGCAAGCCTTGCCGGGAGTGTCCCCAGCCTCATACGTTGTTTGCTGCCAGGGATCGCCTTGCGATGTCGGATTGCACATTCAAGGACCCATTGCACTGCATATTGGCTTTGAGACACGTACCATTCAGTGTCGCATTGGAGGCTCACTTCGCACATTGGACGTTGTGATTTGGCCCTTCATGTCTGCCTGTGATGTCATTGCACTCATTGCTAACCGCATAGGTGTGTGCACGGCTTGCATTCGGCTTCAGAATGGATTGGCCATGCTTGACCATGTCAGCTGTGTGTGGCATTACCCAGCGAGGAGCTTCATTGTGCGCACCTTCCCCATCAACGGGGGGCAAAATCTGTGGTCTGCCCATGAGATTGATTGCCTCACTGAGTGTGTTCGTGGAGGGCAACATGGAACCAAGTGTCTGGCGCAAAGCAGAAGCAGCACTGATCATGAGTTGTGGTACCGTGGCCCTGCTTGGCCCCGTGTCATTGTGTCTTTCATGCGTGAGGACCTTTGCCTGCATGATGTCATTGCCAAGCATCCGGAGTGGCCAGAAGAGGTCCGTGCATTTGTCAATGGCGCTGAGACCCCTCTTGACACTGCTGTTAGCATGTGCAATGGTGTTGTCTCTTTCCGTGTTTTCCCCTTGCATGGAGGTGCGAAGAAAGGTGGAAAAGGTAAAGGAGGGCCTGATCGCAATGCTTTCCTTAAGGGTGCACTGATTGAGAGAGGCGTGCCCAGTGATGTTGCGCAGGACAGAGCTGGTCTTGTGATCTCCCGCCTTGGCACTGATTTGTTTGATAAGCTTCCCAAGGATGCCACTTTTTGGGATAAACTCAAGCAAGAAGCCTCACGCCACAGCGTCCGCCTGATTTATCCCGGTGAGCTTCGTCAATTCCAGACAGAGAAGCGTGCAGCCTCAAGATCTATCACTGACAGCAGCACTGCAACAGGCACTGAGGAGTGGTCCATCAAAGGTGGTGGCAAGAAAGGCAAGCGTCAGCGGCAGATTGACACCACTGACCTCAAGCTTGTGTCTGCCGACTTCCAGGCGGACGATCAAGTTGTGCCTAGCCTTGCATTTGCTGATTTCAGCACTGACGCTAGCGGCATATGTGTCATGACGCCACAGCAGGCCAAGGCATTCATGCCCCCAAAGAAGATGTCCACAGACGGCCTTGCCATCCTTACCACACAGCCTATGCCTGAGCAAACTGAAAGCCCCATTCAGTACACTGCCTGCAATGCCGAGGGTCGTGTTGCGCTCATGCAGGGGCACTTGCTGCAGTTCGGTGACATTGCAATTTACCATAAGCCAGCGTGCCCTGAGCTCACAGTTGCTGAGGTAAAGTCCACTGTGCTTGAAGTCATTGTTGACAAGTCGTGCAGTAAGTGGGCCACGGCAGTTAGTGACATTGTTACGCACATTGCTAAGTCACATGCAGGAGTGAATTGCACTGAGGGGGTCTTGAGCAAGTGGCATCTGAAAGTTTACGACTCCCAGAGATTTCCATGCCGCCAGGATCACACCAGTGCGTCACACATGCATGGCTTTCTCAGAGTGCGAGATGATCATCTTCTTCCCTTCCTTGCCCTGTCGGGCCGAGACGGTATCTTCGTGAATACCAAGGCAGGTGCAGGAGCGCGGGATGAGCGTTTTGCCGTTGTCCCTGTGAGAGACAAGACCAAGCAGGAAGCGCTTGCAGTTGCACAGATGCACGCCAGTGCCCTTGGGGTTGTCAAGATGCGGGAGGGATTTGGCATTCGTTGCAAGCGTGAGGATGTGCGCAAGATTAAGAGAGGTTTGAATCCTGATGTCATTCTCTCTGAGTCTGAGCCCGATGACGTTGATTCATCACTGCAGTATAAGCTGTGCAATGTGCGAACGCAGACCACGAAGCAGGCCCTCACTGATGCCCTGCGCGCCCATGGCTGGATCGCCACAGTGACCAGGGCTCTCGGAGCCAATAGTTGGTTTGTCAAGTCAGCGAAGGAGCCGCCTAGCAAAGAGTTCCTGATCAATGGTCACCTTGCAGTGCTTATTGCATATCAGTCACCAGCAAAGCAGGATGATTTGCCGAAATGGCCCTTTGCGGGCCTTGCAGTGCCCAGGACTGGGGTTGAGCAGGCGAGTAGTGCAGCCGTAGGACCGTCTGTTGCTCTTGCTGCAAAGGGCCCCAGCGCAGTGCGATTGGATCAGATCAAACATGACCTTGAAGAGAAGGTTGCGAAGCTTTTTGAGGAAAAGATGAAAGATACTGCCAGCCGTTTCGATGGCATTGAGTCAGAGATGCAGCAGCAGAAGCAAGCCTCTCTTACCTTGCAGAGTGAGATTGGAGCCAACACGCAGCAGATCCAAGGGCTTGGCAAGACCATTGACACTGTGCGCACTGAGTTCCAAGTTGCCAATGGTGAGCTGATGGGAGGGATTAAGCAGTTCATGCAACAGATGCGTGCTGAGAGCGAGGTTAGTCTGAAAACGTTGCATGCCAAGCTTGATCAGATACAGGCTGATCAGATGCAGGTTGATCCTGAAGCTGACAAAAGGAGGAAGGTCAGTCCTGCCCACAAAGGCAGCTGACTAGTGCAGAGTGCGCATGAGCCTAGCGCTGGAGGCCGTGTGGCACTTTCGAGATTGTGCCAGCGTGATGCATGGGCCATGCCTTGTCGCTTCCTTGTTTGCATTGCCTTATGGTCGGGTGTGGGTGTTGTCGACGCCTCATC